GTTTATTCAGAAACCTGTTCCTATCCAAGCAATAAAGCAAACCCAACTGATTTTAAGGCAGGCAGGATGTCCCAGAAATTTCATTACTTTGCTGAATTGGCTGCTGTCTTCCTAATGTTCACCAGACATAGGAAGGGTGGGGTGGGAAAAGGGATAGTTGGCTGGAAAATGTCTACTGGACAAACAAAATAAAGGCACTTTTTACTTAATATTTGAAGTAAATCCCAACTGTACAGGAGTTCTACACTTAATTTCCCTAGGTTTGTTGCATACTTGTTCTGCTACCTGCTGCCCTGGCATTCCTCAAAGTTTTAGGAACAGGGACTATGTCCCTGAACTTTCTCAGAAACAAATACTGCATGACTAAAAACAAGCACCTAGCAGCCCAGTAGGCTGTCCTGTCCAGGAGATACTATGTTTCTGGAAAACCACTTGCGTGAATCCTCCGTAACAACTACATTATCGGTTCATGTTTTGAAGAACACCAACACTGGCCAAGTGCTTCTCAAGAGGTGCTTTCTCTCTTGATGGGTGGGATTTTGCATCGAGGATTAGTGCACTGACTTTACTACCATGGAAGTCAGATGTAACGAGAGAAAATCCCTCAGACTGTCACCACTGTGCCACCTCCTCCAGGGAAAGAAAGAGGGAAAGTAGAGCCAGGAAGAGCATTCTGGGGAGGTCAAGTGACTGAATAAAGAATGAATTCTAGCATTTGAAAGAAAAAATTGTGTCCACTGTGCAAGGAAAAGGAAGGTGTATGCCCAGTGGAAGCAACGTCAAGTGACATGGGAAGAATACAAATATGCTGCTTGCTGCTGTAGGGAGAAAATTTGTGTGGCCAAAGCTCAGCTGGAGTTGAAGCCGGCCAGAAATGTGGGGGATAATAAAAAGAGTTTTTTCAAACATATTAATGGCAATAGGCAGTATAGAAATATCATCAGCCCGTTACAGGGTGAGGATGGTCACCTCACAAACAGGGACAGAGACAAGGCAGAGGTGTTTAACGCTTTCTTTGCCTCTGTCTTCAACACAGCTGACGGACCAAGGTGGTCTCAGTGCCCTGAGCTGGAGGACCATGACTGCAAGACTGATCAACTCCCAGTTGACCCTGAAATTGTGCAGGATCTGCTGCTCAAGCTGAATCCTTACAGATCTATGGGGCCTGATAGGATTCAACCCAGAATCCTCAAAGAGCTGCTGATGTCATCTCAAAACCTCTCTCAATGATTTTTGAGTGGTCTTGGGAATCCCGAGAGGTCCCAACTGACAGGAAGCTGGTGAATGTTGTCCCAATTTTAAAGAAGGGCAAGAAGGAGGACCCCAGAAACTACAGGCCTGTCAGTCTCACTTCAGTGTCCAGTAAAATTATGGAAAAGTATTGAAAAACACCTGGAGGACAATGCAGTCATTGGTCACAGCCAGCACGGCTACACGAGGGGGAAGTCGCGGTTCTTGAATCTGATTTCCTTCTATGACAGGCTAACTCACCTAGTTGATCTAGGAAAGCCAGTAGATGTAATCTTTTTGGACTTCAGCAAATCTTTTGATACTGTCTCTCACAGCATCCTTCTGGACAAAATGTCCAGCATACAGCTGAATAACCGTGTTACATGATGGATGAGCAACTGGTTCACAGGTCACGCACAAAGAGTGAATGGGGTAACACCAGGCTGGTGTCCAATCACTAGTGGGGTTCTGCAGGGCTCCATCCTCAGCCCAGTGCTCTTCAACATTTTCATTAACAATCTAGACGCAGGACTCAAAGCCATATTAAGTTTGCTAACAACACTAAATTGGGAGGAGCTGTCAACTTCCTCAAGGGCAGAGAGACCCTGAAGAGAGACCTTGAAAAATCAGAGAGATGGGCAATGACCAACTGTATGAAGTTTAACAAGGGCAAGTAACAGATTCTGCACCTGGGATGGGGCAATGAGATTCTAGGAAGTAGTGCCACAGAAAGGGACCTGGGGGCCCTGGTCCATGGTGAGTTGAATTTGAGTCAGCAGTGCCCTGGCAGCCAGGAGGGACAACTGTGTCCTGGGATGCATCAGGCAAAGCATCACCAGCCCGTTGAGGGAGGGGATTGTCCCACTCTGCTCTGCACTGGGGCGGCCTCATCTTGAATGTTGTGTGCAGTTTTGGGCACCACAATGTAAGAAAGATATTAAGCTCTTAGAGAGCATCCAAAGGAGGGTAATGAGGATGGTGAAGGGCCTTGAGGAGAAGCTGTATGAGGTCACTTGGTCTGTTCAGCATGGAGAAGAGGAGACTGAGGGGAGACCTCATTGCAATCTTCACCATACTCATGAGAGGACATGAAAGGGCAAGTACTGATCTCTTCATTCTTGTGACCAATGATAGGACTCAAAGGAACAGCATGAAGCTGAGGCAGTGGAGGTTTAAGTTGCATATTAGGAAAAGGTATTTTACCCAGGGAGTGGTTGGGCACTGGAACAGGCTCCCCAGGGAAGTGGTCACACCACCAAGCCTGACAGAGTTCAAGGAGCATTTGGACAACGCTCCCAGGGACATGGTTGTCCTGTGCAGGGCCAGGAGTTGAACTTGATGACCCTGATGGGTCCCTTCCAATTCAGCATATTCAATAATTCTATGACAACACAGGGTATTCCTTGTATAGTATTGATTCTGTAAGGTTACAAATTTTGAAAAGCAGGAAAAACTTGGTTTTGCACTACTTTTCACTCAAATCTCTGGAACGACTGTGTGCTTTCAGTAATTTTTCAGGGCAAAATTTCACTTCAAAACCACGACTACATAAAATCACAGGTTTCTGCATTGGTTTTTTGTTTGTTTGTTTGTTTGCTTGTTTTAATACAGTAATATGAGAATTTTTAAATGTGATTACTGACTTAAGAATTTTTGGATTTTCATGTTAAGTTTCCTTTAAAAATGCTGATTTTCAAAGCACTCATACTCAATATCTCCTGGCAGAACCACCTTATGATGACTGAAATGGCATCTTAAGAACTGAGGTACCTTTATCCACAGTTCAGTTCTGAAAGTGGGTAAAAAGCAATTATAAAGGACCATACATGCATACAATTATAGTAATTGGATCAATACAGTGCTGCTACAGGTAGGGTAACTCTTGATGCCTTCCTGGAAACTGCATGTCTACCTGAAAGATTTTTGTGAGTTTAAGAAAAGAGAATTTATCTGAAAAAAGGACACAGATACCAGCAAGAGGAAAATACTTACAGGATATTGTGGACATATCCCATTTCATTCATGGACAGACCTATCACACTTCTACTACAAATTACTTTGCTTTTAATAATATATGCTAACATTTACTTTAAGGTTGTTTTTCTTCACTGTAGTGTTAGTTTCTCTGCCTAATTAAAACAGAGTGAGCCCATGGCTTCACACTTAAGCAAGGTGCTGCACCTGATAAATCCAGTCAGGAAGAGAGGAAAACTCTGCTAAGCAGGTTATAATTTTAAAAACTTGAACACAACTTTTCACACCCTTGTGATCTATTACTTCTCAAACAAAATCAGGAAAAACTACATGTAATATCCGAATGTTCTTTAGGAAAACTGCTCTCTTTTTCCCCACCAGAGGAATGTTCTTAATCCTTTTTAGCTGACTTTGTGCATCATGAAGTAGCACAGAGCCCAGTTCCTGCCCTTTACCCTCGGCCAACTCCACCTCTCATGTAACTCCAAAGTGATCCAGGAAATTTGCAAACAGCTTTGTATTTTGCACAACCTAGTATTTTTGTAGAAAAGGAGAATTCATTGCAGACCAGAATAAGAAGCAGAACAGAAAAGAACTTCTAAGAGCAGCACTAGTAAGTACATTTCTATGCATGGTTTTTAGAAGTGAGTCCAGAAGATGCCTTTTCTACCTTCCTTTGACACACTTAACCTCCTCCCTCAGAGTCCAGAGGACTACCACTGTGCCCACTACTCATAGGAACAGGAGCGTTATCATTATAATTTTACCTCTAATAAATAAATTTCTAACAAAACAGGATGGCTTCCTCTTCTCTGGCTCTAAAGATTGCAACCTAAAATTGAGAAACCTTTGCTGTGGCAGTAAAGCCAGGAGGACCAATTTGAATGCACATGGGTAGTAATGCTACAGAAGTAAGACGGTACAAATATCACATAGCAATTTTTCTGACAGCTCTCTACTTTAACTGGCAGAAAATCAATAACATTAAGACTGAGGGTCACAGCCTTTGGAAAGAGTTACATCAACGGAAACACAGAACAGACAAAGCCAAAAGAGATTATAACCACAGATATCCCAAGGGACAGATGAAATCATGGGTTATGGTGTTTTTAAAACACAAAAAAAACTTATTCCCTCAATCATCCCCCAAATGTCTTGTCTCCTAGTTTTTCACAGTTTTCTAAATTAAGAGGTGAAGATTGCAGTCAGAATGCTACTATATTTCACTCAAAGGCATAAAGTCTCTTCGTGAAAAGGGTTCAACATTCTCCTATTTGCAGGCATACTTCTAGAAAATTGGTGCCATACTTACTGCTCAAAGGTAAGCTTGCTGGTGCAAGTAGCAAGCTTTTACTCACAAAGAGCAGTCACAGAAGATAGAGTGCTCCCTGTACTAACAGTCACAGCTGAAACTGGGCACAAAGAGCAGACAGCATGACAGCAAAACAATCATGGCAGTAAAAGGTTTCTACTCCTGCCCCAAAATCCCTGTGCAGCTAAGCTCTTTAAGGATTACCTTTCATTTCCACAATGCACTAGTGGAATGCACTAAAAGCTCAAGGAACTTGTATGCCTGTGCCAACTGTGACTCAGATAAGCCCATCCTAACACAGGAATACACTGGCCATCCCTTAAAAGCAAAGGACACTGACTGCCCCCCACGCCAAATAAGCAATTGGCTCTAGAGTGCCAACTTCTCAACACACCTAGAATAACCACAGAGGCTGAAGGACACAGGCCATCTGACCAAGCACTGCTGGTGTAGCTTTATTTAAATTCTATTCATTGTTTCTCACCTGTCTTTTTGGCAAGTCATGATACTGTAGTATGAGCCTGGTGTTGACGCTGTGACTCCACGTGTTGCCAAGGGCTGCTGTCACACAACCAGAATCCCTCTTCCCACTTACAGAAGCCCCTGAAGATAAATATGAAAGAAACTGCATCAGGACTGTGCCACAAAGAAGGTTTCAGCATGGAAACTCTAATCAGTCATCTCAGATCATTCCCTAAGCTAGGTAATCACAAATGGTACTTAATAGATTGCACTCCTGCATTAATTTCCTACCTTTCTTGTTTATTTATAAAAGTACAGTGTGAGTTCTCCATCTCACCCTTTGATACCTAGACAAAGTGCCAAGAATTAAAGAGCTGTTGCAAAGTAGTACCTACCTTCTTGGAGAGACCGGTACATTTTCTAAATATCTGGAGGTGCACCATGCATGGGGGACACTTGTCTTTTCCTCTTTAGATATTCTATCCCCAAGCAAACCAGCTTTCTACGAGCACAGAGGAGAGGGAAGCAGGCCAGCAGAGTTACAGTGTATACTGACATAACAAAAAGGGAAGCTAAAGGAGCAGAATGCACTGCCACAATACCCTGACATAAAAATCAGAATATTGATTCATGCCATCAGGCATCCTACACATTTTCTAAGATTTGCAAAGAAGGGAGCCTCTTAGCTGTAACTACCACTCTGGTGTCTCTGAAATCATATGAATTTCATATAACCCTAAAGGAAAATGCACTTTGCTGCAATCAGCAATGACAAAATAAAGAAGCATTTCCAATAATGTCACATGATGCAGCTTGCTGAAATGCCATTGCACCTGAGCTTTCTCATACCACAACCAGAGATCCATACATACGCACATACACATATGCAGGCAGGTAGGGTGCCTAAGACCTTCATCTTTACTTATCACAAGTTCTGTGTAAGATTAACAGATAGATGGGTGACTTGTTTGTACTTCAAATGACACTTCAAGAATAGCACAAGTCAGACAAACCTAAGAAATTCAGAAACAAACCCCTAGTTTATGTGGGTATAAATGATCATGTGCAAGTTGAAAATTGAACTGTTTGAGGCACACAGTCCATACTGTTAAAAAGCCAAGAGTGAGTAAGAGACAGTTAGATTTAAAGTCAGGTAACTTCCTGTCATCTATTGGGCAACAAACAAAATTGCTTTCCCAGGACAGTAGTGAGATCCTTGTCAACTAAACCAATGAAAGTTAGACCAGATACTTTCTCTGCAATAAAGCAGCCTTATGTTTCTGTCAAAATTATCAGTAATGTAACAGTTAATGTAGAAATCTAAATTATAAGAATTAGGTTTTGGAAGCAAAACTTAATGAGATAACAAAGTCATCTTGCAGCCCAGCAGAGCTTCTGGAAGATTGAGGTTTAAAACTCTTCACTACTTTTACATTTGCAAGGTTGTGGGGTTTGTTACTTACTCCCCGCCTCTCCCCCAACTGTTCAGAGCACAAGCATAATTTCTTCATCCACTAAAGCTTTTATTTTGGAAAAGCATCCAGTAAAGAATAAGACCAAAAGTGTTGACGTGCAGTAATAATCATTATTTATATCACTGCTGGTAGCTTGCAAGCAGTGAGAAGGACACTTTATTAGACTGCATTAGGCAGAGGAGAGCAGCAGGCTGGAGAGAGGGGCCTGGAATGATTGCAGTGCACTACAGGATTTAGCTAAAGACCTCAAACCTTACCCCCTGCACCAAGTAATAAAAGATTCAATTAATATCAACTGGATTTGGATTAGATCTTTAAATTAAAGGTCTACAAAAGAAATGAGTGAAGCACCTGGTTCAAGACAATAGTTTGAAAAGAGCCTGGACTCTGTACTTGCCTGAATTACTTCCCACGTCATGGCAGCTCACTCCAATGTGCACAATACTTGTGTCTCCAGAACACCTGTTCTACTCTGAAAATAGGCTACAGTTGGGCCATCCAGGAACGATGGCTGCTTCTCTTTATGTAAAACAAATATCTTGATAAGCAGCAAACTTCCACCTGAATAACTCATCAGAGGAGCACCTAATTGGAAGTTTCAGTATTAAGGAATGCTATTCTGTTAATTAGTGTAACCCATCTTTACTGGGAAGGTGGATGTGCTAACAAGAATAATTACTCATCATCTATGTTTTGTATTTAATTTGCCAGCTGGAGGAGGAAACACAAGCATTAAAGCAAGGGGCTAGAAGGTCTGTATTTCATTCCCTTAAAATGACTTAAGTGATTTACCTTATTAAGTTCTACAAATTTTTGGGTTTGTGCTAACACCACAAAAGTGAAATACTATTACTGTACAAACAGGATAATGGAGAATATAAGACAGTGGAGCAGCTTTAAAGTTTTGCAATCCTCTCGTGGAATAAGCTGCAGTCAACACAGTCCTTCTTTCCCACCTGTTAGAAATGGGTAGGAATCACTAAATTCAAGTGAGAGAACTAAGTGTGAGTTCTGGAGGGTGTGGAGGTGTTTTCCTCACAGTTGATGTAACTGCACCCCTGTAAGCCACCACTCCACACCATCAAGAAGCAATTCACCCACTCTCGCTTGCAGGCTCCTGACTACAAAGAACCCAGACTTCCAGAAGTAGCTGGTGTTGGCATAAAACAGCCACAAAATTCATACCCAAACTTCCCTCAAATCACGTGTCTCTGCTATTAGGTAACAGAAGGAGTAACATCTTGCTGTCACAACCCTGAGCCAGGCATTTAAACAGTTAAATGTCTGGAACCTGCTGCTGTTACCCTGTAGAGACATCATTCGATTGCAATTCCTAATTCTGCATTCCTTCCAGGCCTAAAGCCTGTCCCAAAATGAACAGATATGCTATATGTGTAAGGCTTGTGGCAGAACAAGCTAATTGCTGTAATTAATTTTATTATATGGAAGAAAGTGCGTTGTACCATACTGTGTCAGCCCCATCTAAAGAGGGCAAATCCTCTTCTGTGAAGTTATTAAAATTTATGACTTTGGTGCAAAGTAGCTAATAAACCTGGAGCAAATTTACAGCAGAGACTTTTTACAGGGTGGAAAGAAATGCCTCACTGGAAAGGTTTCCATTTTATAAGGGATCCTCCTGCGAACTGATGCATTAGGTGGATAGAGAGGCAAAACAAGAAGTGAAGTAAACCAAGGAGGAAGCAATGCCAGCTTTGCAAAGAAGTTCAAGGGCAGTGACAACACATGCTGCATTCCTTCTTCTTGTTCTAAACACAAAAAGATAGTAAATGTCTCAGAGGAAAGAAAGAGGATATGTTAAGAAAACAGATTTATGTTGAAACATGGCCTTAAAAAAATCTTGGACTTTTCTGTTATTTCAACCACTACTTAGTCATTAATGAAGTGGACAAAGGAAGTAGATAAATAACACTGTTCAGAGAAAGTGATATTTTTCATCACACACTGCCTTGTGCTTCCAAACCATGATATTTTCATATTTAGAGATGGGAGTATCGGACCAACATTGGCCCAAGAAGAAAACAGGCTCATAAGACTTTGATCTCTGCTCAGAGGTCCCCAAACTCTCCAACCTGAAATACTTCACAGTGGCATGGAGCAACAGCTCTGAGCTGTGACACAAAGGCACTTATCCATGTTGTGGGGTGGATGCTTCCACAGAGCCTGCAATGTGCAATCAGCTGATAGGCAGTAGTTACAGTCTCTCCAAGTCTGCTTAAAGCATGGTTCTTACTCCAGTCACTGCTGGCATGATGGTTTCTGTTCAGGTCAGAGGTGATACAGGGAGTACAAGGACCAGGGAGAGCAAGAAAAAAGGTCTGACATGCAGATGAAGGAAAGCTGGCAGATCTCAGTTTATGGATGCAGTATGTGGGAAAAGGGAGTAGGTGTCCAGAAGCATAGAGATGGGATCCTAGCAGGGGGAGGTGAAGGTGTGTGCTAGAAGGCTGTCAGAGGACCTCTGAACAACTCCCTGCTTTATGTATTCCGGTTCACCTCAACCGGAGGTGATTGCAATTCCTGTAAACACCCCCTCCTTCCTCACACAAAAAGAACAAGCATTAAATTGATCTTCAAAGGGCACATCAGCAGATAGGCCAAGGATTGCACGAGGTGTCTGTTCTACTGTCTCCTGGGGTATTGAACTCTTTAGGGCACCAGCAGAGATCGTATCTGTTCTGGACTGCAAGCAGAGAGGAGGAACTGGCTGCTTCACTCTCACTGAACAGCTGTCACAAGTGAAAATAAAGCTGCTTGTGGTCTGAATCAGATGCAAAGTAACTGTCTCTCCACAACCAGGGGAAAAGCAAAGAAGAAAGGGTGACTCTTCAATTGAGGCCTGTAGTGCTGCTTCCAAGCAGAAGGGGCTTGCACTGGGCACCAGTGCCCAGGAAAGAGCTGTCAGATGAACTGGGCAACACTTGGGTCTACTTATATACAAAGACTAGATTAATTTTGTTTGTTTCTCCCCATCGATGCAATCAAAACAAACTTCCTTTAAGTAACTTCCTTGTCATTGAGATGAATGCCACATACAGGCAGGATGAGGAAAGTGGGTTTATTCCACCTTCCATTTTTCACTGGAAGGAACAGTAGGATTAGAGCTATTCAGCTCAATACTGCTTCTGGGATTATTCTAGTATGTCCACCCAGAGCACTGCAAGTACAGATGTGGTCTCAAGGGCCTTCTTGTCCTCTGCATATAAGTAGGCACATTTTACAGACTAAATCCTCATGTAACCAAGTCCCAATTGTTGCAAATATGGTTAAAGGGGATTTAATTATAGACTAACTTCAGTTTCTTTAGCATCTCATCCTATGAAAATTTGGATAACTACACCAGTGTCTTAAATAGAATGAAACGAACTCCTTAAAACAGTATTTTTAAATACAAGTATTCATTGCAGGAAGAATGTAATGATATTCTTGTTAAAAAAAAAAAACCCAACCTCTTCCTGGTTGGTATAACTGCACAGAGCAATGAATTCCACCCATTCCACATCCTCACATAGATTTTTTGTCTTTCCACATGAAAGAGTCATTGCCTGGCAGGTTCATCTCCTCTACTGGGCCTCTTTGCAATCTCTACCAATTTGGTAATTTAAAAATCTTTTCTCATCAAATGCTAAAAATGGATCGATGCACTAA